CAAGGATACAAGTATTGTATAAAACCATTATTTCGTTTATCATTATTTCTCAATAATCGCACGCATCGTCTTCTTAGGAAATTAAATAAAAAAACAACATGGTAATTAACGAGCTTAAAAATATAAGATTCCTTGCACAAATAATGATAAGTCTGTTTACACAAAACAAATCGACTTTTTATCAATCCGTTTCAATTCGAGGTAAGCGTTATTTATTAGTGCAATGATCTCGACCGTTGTTATTTTTAAGTCGCAGCACCTATAAATTTATTAGCAGATTCGATGTTTTTTAAATAAATTATATTCTGCTGTGTTAAGGAACTTAACTACAGATAAGATACAAATGTCTTGAGTTATAACTCATCATACAGTTTCACGCCTTTGACAAACGCCAGTATCGGCTACAGAGGTTAGTTCTTCATCTCCGATATCAGTCGTACCAAAGTACGAATGGTTGTCCAGTGGCGGACTAGGGGAGGGGGGGGGGGCGGAAGGGGCGTTCCCCTCCGGGCCCCGTCTTTTAGGGGGCCACTAAATCTTAATAAGTAATTTTTAATTCAACTGGCCAACAAGCCCAATATGTTCAATCTATGCTTAGTAGTTATAAAGCAGTTTGTAGGTGGAGTATACAAACCATAGGTATATACGCCAACTATAAACAGTATAAATAGAAGCAGATATTTACTTAATTATCAATTATCAGGCCCCAGTAATTGTCAATGGCATTTTCTATTTAGGAAATTAAATCAAGGGGTAATTTTCGTTGTTTAAAATACCGAATAATTATTATTTTTTATATATTTTGAGACTGAATTTATTTATTTTAGTTTTTAAGTTATTTTTTAATGGTTTCATTATTTATTTTTACTGAATAAACATTTTAAATTACAACCAATGCACAGCATAACTTGTATTCTAGCTTTACCGGTGATGAGTAGTGAAGTCTTTAGTATAACGGGGGCCACGGGCCTGAGACAGCGAAGAGGCCCCTTGGATCTTGGAGGACTTACAAAATCGCGATATTTTGTCGCCGTATTTCCCTGGAACGGTAGCAAAAGTAACGCGGCTCATATGTGGAACCGGTATTTTCATCACTTTGTCATCACAAGTTAATTACATGCGCCATTAAATACATGCGAACATTCACTCGGAGATTTCCCGATCTAATACTGTATGGAATATAATGATCTAATACTCGTTAGCAAAATTATGTTCAATACTTTAATACCTCTAATTTATTACAGTTGGGATTTTAACCTTTGGTGTTAAAACAGCAAAATATAACACTAATTCACCACAATACACCAAAACACCTTACTTTTGCACTTACTTGTTTTATTACATCAAATTGCATACTCGTCAAAACTTGAGAATTTTGTTGAAGTGCAGACCTAAGTATGTACCAGGATGTATTTCGGGAAAATATTTTAACTTCTATAGGGTGGCTCAAAAAAGTGTGAGTGGACCTGGATGTTTTTTAAATGGAACACCCTGTATATTATTGCATTTTTGGCTTCCTTTCAGATTACTTTACATAACCCTAAGATATGAATTATAATAGTATAGTTTCAGAGATATTAAAAATAAATTAAAAAATATATATTTTTCAGCCCTTCTTAAAAAAATTATTAAAAATAGCAAAAACTGTCCTGAAATCAAAACTTATTTTAGGTATTTACATTAAGATGGTCTGCTCTCACTTTGCTATAAATATGATAATCGTATAATCATACAGGATGTTCAATATGTCTACGCCAAACTTTCTAAAATATAAAATATTTTTTCTTTGTTTTTTTTAAATGGAACATCCCTGTATATATTTTTTTATTAGATGGAGAGTTAAAAAATGAACATTATTTGTATTTAGAGTATTTCAAAAATTCTTAACGATTTTCGCAAATACACGCAGTTATTATTTCAATATGGCGCTTTCAATGGTAAAATATGAGAGAAAATCATTGGTTGGCTTTGAATAAAAATTTACTGTGGAAAATGCATATGAAATTATAAAACCGCAAATATCTGAAAGAAACCGTTCAAAATTTTGAAATCTCTAAAATACAAAAAAAAAAATTCATTTTTTTAATTCTCCGTCTATTGAAAAAATAGATAATACAGGGTGTTCCATTTAAAAAAACGATTTTTTTGAAAATTATTTTTATATTTTAGTAAGTTGGCGTAGAATTTTGAAAACATCCCTGTATAATTTAAAGATTTTTCATATTTATAGCAAAGTAAGAACAGACCATCTAATGTAAATACCTAATGTAGTTTTGATTTCAGAAAAGTTTTTTGTATTTTAATAATTTTTTTAAGAAGGGCTGAAAATATATATTTTTTTGATATATTTTTTAATATCTTCTGAAACTATCGAATATATTTATTCATATCTTAGGGTTATGTAACGTGATCTGAAAAGAAGCGAAAAATACAATAATATACAGGGTGTTCCATTTAAAAAAAAATCAATCACAGGTCATCTCACACTTTTTTGAGGCACCCTATAGAAGTTAAAATATTTTCCTGAAATACATTCCTCGTAACATACTTTAGGTTGCACTTAAACAAAATTCTCAAGTTTTTTATTCTAGGAGCTACAGATGCCCGACGACGCACTATTGCAGGACCCTGTATATTAATATTTCAAGAAATCTGCCTAAAGCTTAGCCCGATCTTGTCGTGTTTCCAAGCCACACCCAAATTCCAAACACAAGACGTGCTTTGATTAAGGATTGATTAAGGTTTGCAGAAGCTATAATAAAATCATTATATAGTTTAATTCACTGTTTAGCCTTTAAACAAAGTTTTATACAAACGGTGCAAGTGGGGATCAAAGTTTTAAATCAATTAAAAAAAAAAAAAAAAAAAACCATATAAATTATATATCACTGTAATCACAGAACTTCAATCTATTTCCGTATTATAACGGAATTTTAAATTTATGTCTTTATTTTCGAAAAAATTTAGTCCAAACACAAGGAATATTTTGTTGATGTTTCACCATCAACATCTTATAAATAAAGAAGTTGTCAAAAAATGTGCTACAATACGGATATAGTATAATCCTTATCTCTTATATAGTTTTTTATATTTCCTTCTTAATTTGTGTAAAAATACCTAGCCAGTTTTACATAAAACGTTAATTAAATGCCAAACGTTTATTTTGCTACGTTTTCGGACTAGTGAAATGGACCCTTAAATGCCCTAAAAAGAAGAAAATACACTTTAAATACACAACAATTTGAAAAACTTTAAATGAAAAGGTGTTTAGAAAAATCTTATGATACACAAACGGTTTCGATATGCTCAAAAAATCCATTCTAAATACTTATACATACTTATTATTATCTATTAATTCAAAATTAATTAATTATTCAAAATAATATTTCATTACTATAATGAATTCAAATAAGGCATGTGAGTAACACGTGAGATTTATTAATAGAGATTAAAGAAATGTGTTTCTTATTCTATATCCATATCCTTATAATTTCCCAATTAAGATTTTAAGCATAAAGTTTTGTGACACCTGTTAATTACAAGAAATATTATTTTCTTCAGAACCGTAAGTAAAACCCGTTTATATATGCATAGTAAATGACGTAGCTTATGTAGTACTATGCATATGATTATTTTACATAATTTCTATTTTCAGTGTTTAATTATGCATAATGTTGTCATTGTAAACAAGATTCAAGGCATCGATTATAGTAGCATGAAATCTGACAGAATATTGGCAAATACCACAACAAGAATGACGCAAAGAACCTAAAATAAATACAAGATCAACAGAAAATGTTCATACTACTTAAAACTTAAGAAAAAATTTGAATGTCTAAGTGACAATGAAACATTTGTCACTTAGACGTAAAGTATTTTTAATAGGTATTCTAAAAATGTCTCGATTTGGAAACGATTCTTTAATTGCAATTGAAGAAAAAGTTGCCGAAAGTAAGCCGAAAAACACTATAATTAATCACCAGTATGTATGGAAACAGTTTATTGACTTTATAAAAGATAGAAACTACATTTTGGATGCGAACATCTCAATCTCGGCACTGGACAATATTTTAACCGATTGGGCATTTAACGGTAAAAACTATTTGGAATGTAATAGCCAAGCTATTAATGGAAAATACCAAAAAGAATATAATATTAAATTTAACGCTGTACTTAAACTGCCGTTAAACGGTAGCCTACTGAAATGCCGTTAATAGATATGACGTTGTTGATGCGACGCACTTGACGGCTTTTTAATGCTTTGGTTAAAATGCCGTCGAACTGTCGCGTACTAAAATGCCGTTAATCAATTTGTGTTCCGTTTTCCATTGCCCTTTTGGTATGTCTTTTTCGTCGCGTTTACACTATTATTGTAGTAACAATTTGTGCTAAGTGCTATAAGTTGATTTTAATTAAGGTGTACATCTGGATATTATCGGTTCAGGATGGAGTAAGTGTTTCAGTTAGTTTTCTGATTGTTAATTTATCTATAAACATTTTTAGGTTCATGACTGAAATTAGAATACTGAAATTAGCATGCTGAAAATTGGGGATAGGTTCAGCTCATTCGCTGACGCAAAGAAAGCGATTGAGGAACTTGGTGAAAATACGTACACAACATTTTGGAAACGAGATGCCCGTACGATTGCAAGCAGTAAAATTGTGAGACCATTAGAAAGGTTTTTGATTTATTATCAACTTCTATATGCATGTAATCCCGGTGGAAAGAAGTTTAAGGGCAGTGGGAAAAAAATTCGACAGTCTTGGACATTTAAAGAAGATTGCCCAGTACATGTAAGATTCAAAGCATCGTCTGATGGAAAAGCACTCGAGGTAACATCGGTTCAAATGAAGCACTATCATGTCACTTCGAAGGTAAGTTTACAGATTAGTTGACATATAGTATGCTTTTAGAATTCTTGCTTGAACAGTCTTTTATTTATAAAAGATATAATTTGTAGGTTCTACATGCACATAACCCTAGCCAAAGAAAACTTTCCAGTAATATGAAGGAAAGCGTCAAGGATTATTTGAATATGAAGGCCAATAGAAAAATGATACAGCAAAAAGTTCAAGAAAGTACTGGTAAAATTGTTACTTTACAAGCTTTAACAAATATGAAGATATCCGATCAATCAAGAAAAGAAAACTTAGATGGCTGCTTAAATATACTTACAAGCTAAATACGGTAAACTAAAATATTCTATTATCGTCTTATTAGTCCCAATAACTACTCTGTTTTCAGGTGCCAATGTAGCTGTTTTGCGAGACGAAGACAATAATTTCATAGGATTTTTCATTCAAAGTCCAACCATGAAAAGTACAATGAAGGCTTTTCCAGAATTTCTTGCAGTAGATGCTACATATACAGTACATCTGCTGGATCTGTGTCTATGAAAGGAATGCGGACAAAAATATTTAAATAAACAGCATTAAACATAACATTAAATATATTTTATACGTCGATTTGACGAGTGCGTCACCGCAAATCGCTCCGCCCACTCATTTTATTGGCTACTTGCAAATTTATTGAATTTTTATTGATGGGACGCGTCGTTTATTTTTTTACGAAAAATATCGAGAGAATATCGTTTCCCCTCTCAGGATACCCCGTAGCTACAGAACGAACAGACGTACTGTAAATTATGATGATGCACTTGTATTTGAAAGTAAAAATCAGTCTTCTGTGGAACACTCTGAGGTTTGTGACGAGACGGACCTTCAAGACAGAAACAATATGAGTGAAGCGCTCATATTAGATAATAGAAATACATCAACTGTTGGTCAGTCACCTGTGGAAGCACCTGAGTTTTGTAACGAGCTAGTTATAGAGGAGGAAATGACACGAGATGAAGCGCATCAACTTTCCTATATTAGTGATTCAGTTTTAAATGACGTCAACAACCAGTCCCATCAAATAGTTGAAGTCAATGATTTCGCTTTGACAACAATTAAGATGCCTGTTTCAATAAAAAAATGAGGACGTCCAAAAGACAGGACTTAACAGTCATAGGACTACCAAAGAAAAAGAAAAGATGTACTGTAGCATTTGCTAAACAATCCTATCATGAAAAACAAAATGTAATCCTGAATTGCTTCGTTAAGGATCGTAACATCGTTAGAGACATTACAAATGGGAAATTTCTTGAAACTGTAGACCTTAAAATGCTCCCCGAAGAAATATCACATGCCGTTCTTGATGAGGCTGTTAATATCCACATGATAAGGTAAGTCTAGCGATACCTAATAATTACCAAATTAATAACTAATAATGTAAATTACGATTTTTAGAAGTTTTTGCACCGAGAAAGCCTTTGAAAAAATAACCAATCTAGTTGCGCAGAAACGACTTCAACAAAGTTGGTTTTGTTATGTGTGCAGTGAAGACACGCAGAAAAATCATATGTCACTTTGTTGCAGTAGATGCCTTCTATGGAGACATATCCGTTGTGCAGGATTGACTAAGCGACCTAAATCAAAACTGTGGTTTTGCAGAGAATTCTATCTGTAGCATTATTATTTTTAAGTTGACGTAGTATTATTTTTAAGTTGTCAGTTTATAATTTGCAATAAAAACCTGAAAACCAATGCCATATATTACATTTTATTGCAAATACATTTTCAAACCTACAACGGCAACATATACGTCTACCTACATATACACCGTTCCAAGTTAATTTTATTCAGAATAAGCCATGACGGATTTTGGACAAAATTATTAACTATTAATCAGTAGCCTACTCTGCATTAACGATTAACGGCATTTTAGTACGCGACCGTTCGACGGCATTTTAACCAAAGCATTAAAAAGCCGTCAAGTGCGTCACATCAACGACGTCATACCTATTAACGGCATTTCAGTAGGTTACCGTTTAACGGCAGTTTAAGTACAGCCTAAATTTAATCCTTTTACTGCACCGAATTTAAAATATCCCGGGAGGCAAAAAGTGCCAAAAGGAAGGAATTGCAGATGGACCCTCTAAAAAGAACAGAAGCTCTAAGGCACTCAAATACGAAGAATTCAAATTGATGGTACGAAATTGTAATGAAGAATGTCCCGATGGTTTGCAAAAAAAATATTTTTTATTATCCTACGAATTGGCATGGCGAGGAGGAGAGGAAGGAAAATGTTTTGTTTCCTATTTTAAAGCTGATATTGATAATATAGGACAACCCACCGGTCGCATTGAATACAACCCGATATTCGATAAAACCACTCAAGGAGGAGACAAACCTTATGCTCCGTCAAAATGGCTGGTCATAAATAGAGGTCAACCGGATATATGTCTAGTAAGGCTATTCAAAAAAATTATGGAAAAAAGAAAACTAATTCATGTTCCAAGATTGTTTTTAACTGTAAATCCTTCCTGGGAAATGGGTAAATGGTTCAAGAACTTTCCTGTTGGGAAAAATGCGATTGCTCAATGGGTGTCTATCGAAGCGTAAAAATCAGGTTTGGCTACGGAGCAAGTAAAAATTACTAATCATTCGCTACGTGCAACAGCTGTGTCGACACTAGCAGAGAAGAAGGGGGTTGAGAAGACAATGGTCAAAATAACTGGGTACGCAAACACAAAGTCAATTAAACCTTACCTTCAACTCGATGATGAACATCATGCAAATTTGGTAGAAAAAATGAGAGACAATGAAACTGCTACAAGTTCTAATAATAATACTAATGTTTTTGTACCTACTATAGGTTCATTTAATTTCAATTCAAATTCAGCATCTTCAAGTACCGCAACGGAATCTAAACATAATAATTTTTATAACTGTGTTTTTCACTGCAATTCTTCATGTAATTTTTAATTTCTAATATTATAAGTTCAGTTTCATTTTATTGCTTAATTTTTTAAGTTTTTTAAAAAATCTATGTATTTTCATGTTTTTTATTCGGGAAATATTCTACCGAATAACACTCGTGCATCAAAATTAACCTGATAATTTATCATTTAAGCATGTTGTCAATAAAAAACAGCATTCGTTTATATTCATATTTTGGAGGATATTGGATTTCTCATGGCAAAATATGAATATAAAGTTTTTAGACAACATGCTTTCATGAAAAATTACCGGTAATTTTGATGCAGTTGGATAATTACTTCCGAAAATAAACTGTTAATGTTATTGATTGACAGGGGCGTATTGAAAAAAATAAGATACTGTAATCGATTGAAACTTAATTTTATTTATACAAAACGTATTTCTACTTTTTTCATTGGTGGACGACTGTAGGTATGATCACCGTGTGTTCTACCTTCCATGTCAGGAAACAAAGTGGGTATCGCATTGAATTTTATACGGTTACAAAGTGAATTGTTAAACATGTTTAATTCAAAATGAAGAGAACACAACCGGTAACTTTTGTTGGCCTTATCTATATGTTCAATCAAATCTTCTCTTTCAGCTGCAATTGCCCATGCTCTTGCCCTAAAAATGTATTGTTAACTTATTTTCGATATATACTCAATTTATTTATTTTTATACAGGGTGAGTTTCCTACGATGTTCTCTATGGGTCTCTCGGAAACTACTGGAGATAGAGAGTCGGTTAAATGGGGAAAGAATTGCAGTTTTGCGGGGTTATAAATATGCGCTTTTCAGATTTTTGAAAAAGTTCATGGCTTACTAGATATTTTGAAAAAAACAAATTTCGGCTATTTTAAAAATTATCCCTAATTCCATTATAAGCTATTTTAGACAAAAAGTTTTCAGATAAAAGTTGTAGATAATCACATTCTTAATGAGACTGTGCCCTCCGCTTTTTTCTAAAGCCTGTCATTTTTGACATATGACACAAACATAGGTTTTTTTAAATGGAAACCATAGTTGGCCATGGCTTCATAAAAAGCGCCATTTTTTAAACTTTTCAGCGATATATGCTATATGTTTTCTTCAAAAAATTACTGAGTTATAGTCAATTCTTATCATTTTTAAACAAACGGTGCGTCATAATGAAAGTTATGTTGGAACCACTCTTTTGATGCGCGAGTATCTACACGCTTTTCTTCATTTTAAAAATTCATATTTACAATTTTAGTTTATTTTATATTTACAAAGTTTGGATGAGACAGCTTTACATTTCTGAGAGCAATGGCGATTGAACTTGTTTCCATGGATACCTAAGTAAATTTTTTTAAAATAATAATAATTGGGTATAACTCAGTAATTTTTCGAAGAAAAAATATTATAGCTTATATCACTGAAAAGCTTAAAAAATGGCGTTTTTTTTGAAGTCATGGCCAACTATGGTTTCCATTTAAAAAAACCTATGTTTGTGTCATATGTCAAAAATGACAGGCTTTAGAAAAAAACGGAAGACACAGTCTCATTAAGAATGTCATTATCTACAACTCTTATTTGAAAACTTTTTGTCTAAAATAGCTTATAATGGAATTAGGGACAATTTTTAAAATAGCCGAAATTTGTTTTTTTCGAAATATCTAGTAAACCATGAACTTTTTCAAAAATCTGAAAGGCGCATATTTATGACCCCACAAACCTGCAATTCTTTCCCCATTTAACCGACTCTCTATCTCCAGTAGTTTCCGAGACACCCATAGAGAACATCGTAAGAAACTCACCCTGTATATATCTAGACTTTCAACATTAAATTTTACTAACTATTTAGCAATAAATCTTACCAATGCTCAAGTATGTTGATATTAATTATACAGGGTGGCGCACCTCATTCGCTTCGGTTGATTATACGAAAACGGACAGATGTAGAAATGAAACTTTTTATGGGTATATGTGGGAAGACAATGTGCATAATCTAAAATTATTTTAAAATAAACAAGGTGTGTCAGAACCATACCAAAGTTATATTTTTTCTTATGGAACACCCGATATTTTATTTCATTTTTGGATTCTTAAGACTAAAAAAAGACATTTATTATAAGAGTTAAATATGTTTGGTTTACACCCTTACATTACTTTTTAGAACTAATTCTTGTACTGAGTTTAAAGGTAGAGAAATAAACTTTACTGAAAAATTTGATTGTGTCCTTAAATGTATAAAGGGGTACCAAAAATTGCTGATCAACACTCTCTATTTTTTGAAGATAAATAGAAGCAGATTTAAATGCTCTTTCAGACTATGGGTTTCCTATACCTATCTGGTACAGATTTTGAAAAAAAAGCGATTTTTCTATAAAATGGCAATAAAGATAGCTGGTGTCGCCATGGCAACTTTTTTAGTTTTTAGCTATTTTCAAAATCGGCATTAGTTTATGGATTTAAATTTATAACAGTTTACTTTTATTTAATTTATGCATAATAGTTTA